GCACCCTCGAGGCAGTTACACAGTGCTTACAATTGTCTCTGGAAGTGAAAGCACCAGAAAGTAAATTAATTCATACGCAGCTGTCATCCGTACGCAAGGAAGTAAGCACAAGATGCCGAACACCCTTAGCAGGATGCAGCGCACCCTTCATGCGACTCGCCGAATATCTCACGGCGCTTCGCGCTTGGTGATGTGAGAGCCTGGTCCGGTGAGAACCCGGCGTGCTCCGTCCCGGCTTTGTAGGGATGCGAGGTCAATGGTCTAACGACTACGGCATGCACGCCTATGAGTACCCCCCCCCCCCCGCCCCTCACGCAACCGCGTCCTTTCCCCCTCTCCCCTGGGAGGTGGTGGTTGTGGTTTCGCAGTGGGGGAATGAAGTCCCTTACCTTATCGGGCAAGCTTGTTCCGTAAGAGAAACCAACCCGACTCCGACCCGCTTGCTCCGCCTTGCATGCACCGCCACCACTTGCGGCAAGTTTACCATGTTGTGGTTGTCGCGTTCGTTGTTGCTGTTGCACGCAGCTTCGTGAAGAGGTGCATGGCCACTTTCGAGGCTGCGCTTAAGGCCTTCGACTCCCCCAGCGGCGGTGGCGATGGCGCAGCGTACGGAGTGGTGGCGTGCGAGCGGGTGATGCGGCTTCTGGTGAAGTTCCTGGATGAGGTGGACAGCCCAACGGGGGCGGCCCGCTCTTACGTGTCCGTCCAGACTCGCGATCCGGAGGAGGTTACCCTTAAGGTACGACTACCATCTCAGTTATTTTCCGTCAAGCCGAAGACAGAGGCAACAAAGACAGGGGCAAAGTCAAGCTGAGTCAGGGCCAGGTCAAGCAAAAATCGCGTAGAGTGATCGGACACACGCACACGCTGGGTTTTTACTTTGGCGGTCGTTTATGTTGGCGTTTGTTTCTTTCTCTGCCTCGGGGATGGTTTTTGGTGGGGTCATGATCGTGATGCTTGTCTATTTTTTGTTTTATTGAGGGAGAGTGGGCCGTGTTCTCTAGATCGTTCGTGAAGGTTGCAACAACAGCATCCACCAGCAGCACCATCATCAACAAGAACGCGGACAATGACAACGATACATCGTCGCCATCGTTTTTAACAGCAACATCAACAACAAAAGAATATCGTCACCCGACGGAATGACAGGTCGTCGTCCGCGGGGTGAAAGCCGGAAACGCCGTGCCCCAGAAGCGCGAGCTGTTCTACGACATGCAGCGGTACCGAGTGACGGTCGGGGCTTTGAGGGGACGCGTGTCGCACGAGATGGCGCATCCCGCCAACCAGGCACGTATCTCGATCACTTCACCCACGGTGGTGTATACCAACTCTATTCCCGATTGGTTCTGTTGTCTGTTGGCGAGTTTTGATTGTACTTCCATGGTCTAACCCAACTGCTATGTGCGGGTTTTGGCGCATCGTTTCTGTGAGTGTGCCGACACGGGAGCCTGGCCCACCACCAGGTGCGCTCTCTCGCGTTGGACAGCTTGAGATGCGGATTGGCGTTCTTGTCGACGTTGGGGGCAGTCCCAATGCCGCGCGAAACGCGAGCTGAGTTACCGCCGTCCCTTCTGGACGATTCAGAGGATGTCATGTCATGTCATGTCATGTCATGTCATGTCATGTCATGTCATGGCATGTCATGTCTTGGGGTTGACATGTCATCTCTTGGGTTCACTTGTCGTTGATTGTGTTGCCGCCGTGTGGTGGATGTAGAGGGAGGGAGGAAAGGAGGTATCGAGCGCGCTTAGCTCGGCCGAGTTTGCTGGCTTGGGAGTACGTTTACGCCAGCTATTCCTCAGGGACGTAGCTTGCCAACGAGAGCCGGTCCAACGTGAAGGCTTGCCGTTTGAAGTTGTTTTTGAGACTCCGCCGGCGTAAACGCAACCTGACTTGTCGCCAATTGTTCCGGTCACCACATGTCAGCCATTCTTTTTCATGTGGTATGATACCAGGCGTGTGGTAAATTGCCATAGTCTAGTGTTATGCCCATGGTTTATTTTTGTGGGAGCAGGTGGCCCGGAGCATCCCTGATACGCTTGCACGCGCGCCCCTCTCCTGTCGCTGCTGTGGGGTCATCTTTATTATGGTTGTCCTCGTCGCTTGTGTTTAGGTGCGGTTGATCTTCAGCCACAGGATGCTCTCGAAGGATCAGGTGGCGCTGGAAGCGGAGGGCGTAACGTCTTACTGCGAGGCGGTGCTCTTAGACAAGCCGGCCGACGACACGCGGGGTTATCGACCACTTGTGAGTAACCAGACTACCCCGACCTGGCAGTCGTGTTGTGTGCAGCGGTCGCATCCCTTTTGGAGCTCATGCGAACGACGGCAGCTGTCTGTTGGAGGAGAAAGTCTGCAGGAGATTATGCGCATATATGCAAGGTTTACGAGACACGAGAGGATAGCAGGGAGGGGTGTCTATGTGGGTACATTTGGTGTTTTTGGGCGACCCAAACTTGTGTAGTCTGCACTCGCCCCTCCGGTTTCACAGCGGGTGCAGAGGGCAAGGGACAGCCGCTTTGTACAGTCAAGTATGGTAGTTATGCTTCGATCCCGGGTGGCACGGAAGAATTAAATTGATAGGCTTGCCTCGGTTGTGTGCTCGCGTCGGAGATGAATTCGACCATGTTTTGGCGCATGTGATATTTGTTGTTTTGTTGAATGGTGTTGTGATATTTGTTATTTTGTTGTTTCGTGTTGTGATATTTGTCTTCAGCCCCGGGAGAAATCGGCCCCGTGGGACTCGAAGCTGGCCAAGAAGATTCCTCGCGATATCCTGGCGAACGACGACAACGGCGGCTTCCTCCGCATTCTCTTCAGGTAAGAAAAGCTGTCGGCAGACAGACAGCAGTGAGTGGCGAATCCTACGGGTAGACTTTTGTCATCCACCGCAGCACTAGTTTCGGTGCTCGATCCGACAATGGCGGGCGATCAGTACTATCTAGTTTTATGCGGCTTTATGCCTTAGCGTGCCTGGCGGGTGCCATTGGCGTGTGGGAGAGAAGGGAGACCCTCCTCCTGTCTATGAATTCAACCCCCAACGTCCCAAGATTGATGCGGCGGTTACTCTTTGATAGCACGCTTACCCTTAACGTTTGAGTATCGCGGGATTTTCTCGCTTCCTCCGTGAAAAACCCTGAAAAACCCCCTCGTCCGGTGTTTGCCATCGGGGTTGGGTTTTCGTCGCGTGGCAACGACGTTGTAAAACAAGCCGCCCCCCTCCCGGTGTTTGCCATCGGGGTTGGGTTTTCGTCGCTTGGCAACGACGTTGTAAAACAAGCCCCCCCCTCGGTGTTTGCCATCGGGATTGGGTTTTCGTCGCTTGGCAACGACGTTGTAAAACAAGCCAATTCACTTCGTGAACTCGGCAACCAGGTTACCGTTTTTTTTTTTTACCTCTGTTTTTTTTTTTT